GCCGGGCCTGGTGGCGCATGCCTGTAGTTCTAGCTGCTCGGGAGGGAGGCCGAGGCAGGAGGATCGCTCAAGGTCAGGAGTTGGAGGCCAGGCTGAGCAAGAGCGACGCCCCGTCTCTAGTAAAAAAAAAAAAAATAGAAAGAAATGAGCTGGACAACTAAAAAAATATAAATATAGATAGAAAAAACGAGCAGGGCACGGAGGTGTGTGACTATAGTTCCAGCTACTTTGGGAGGCTGAGGAAGGAGGATTGCTCAAGGACAGGAGTTGGAGGCCAGCCTCAGCAACAGCGAGCCCCTGTCTCTATTAAAAAATGTATAAAGAAACTAATTGGCCAGATAAAACTATATAGAAAAAATGAGCCGGGCGTGGTGGCGCACGCCTGTAGTCTCAGGTACTTGGGTGGAGGCCGAGGCGGGAGGATCGCTCAAGGTCAGGAGTTTGAGGCCAGGCTGAGCAAGAGCGAGACCCCGTCTCCACTAAAGAAATAGAAAGAAATTAACTGAGCAACTAAAAATATGGAGAAAAATAATTAACCGGGCGTGGAGGTGCATGCCTGTGGTCCCAGCTACTTGGGAGGGAGGCCGAGGCGGGAGGATCACTCAAGGTCAGGAGTTTGAGGCCAGCCTGAGCAAGAGCGAGACCCCGTCTCTATTAATAATAAAAAAAGATTAGGTGGACAACTAAAAAATAAATAGAAAAAAATGAGCCGGGCGTGGAGGCGCACGCCTGTGGTCCCAGCTACTCGGGAGGGAGGAGGCTGAGGCAGGAGGATCGCTCGAGGCCAGGAGTTCGAGGTCAGCCTGAGCAAGAGCGAGACCCCGTCTCTACTAAAAAAATAGAAAGAAATGAGCCGGACAACTAAAAATATATACAGAAAAAACGAGCCGGGCGTGGAGGCGCACGCCTGTCGTCCCAGCTACTCGGGAGGGAGGAGGCCGAGGCGGGAGGATCGCTCAAGACGAGTAATTTGAAACCAGCCTGAGCAAGAGCGAGACCCCGTCTTTAGTAAAAAAAAAATAGAAAGAAATTAGCGGAAAAACTAAAACTATATAGAAAAAAACGAGCCGGGCGTGGAGGCGCACGCCTGTGGTCCCAGCTACTCGGGAGGGAGGGAGGCCGAGGCAGGAGGCTCATTGCTGGAGGCCAGGAGTCGGAGGCCGCTGTGAGCGAGGCTGACGCCACGGCGCTCATCTCCAAAAAAAAAAAATGGGAGTCGGGGACCCCGGCTGCCCCTGGGGTTGGCAAGCCGCAGCTGGGCCTCGCCCCGGCCTCACCCCCGCGCCGGCCTCCCCCGTCCCGCAGCTGACGATGCCCAGCCCGATGCCCGAGTACCTCAACGTGCACTACATCTGCGAGTCCGCCTCGCGCCTGCTCTTCCTGTCCATGCACTGGGCCCGCTCCATCCCCGCCTTCCAGGCGCTCGGGTAAGTGGCCGCCTCCCCCTCTCTCTGCTGCTGCTGCCCCCACGCCCGGGGGCCTGTCCCTGCCCGGGGATTAGTGGAAAAACTAAAACTATATAGAAAAAAACTAGCCGGGCGTGGAGGCTCAACGCCTGTGTCGTCCCAGCTCTCTGGGAGGAGGCCGAGGAGGGAGGATCGCTCGAGGTTGGGAGTTGGAGGCCGGCCTCTGAGCAAGAGCGAGACCCCGTCTCTACTATAAATGGAAAGAAATTAATCGGCCAACTAAAAATATATAGAAAAACTGTCATCCTTGCACTCTGGGAGGAGGCCGGGGCAGGAGGATCGCTCGAGGCCGGGAGTTGGAGGCCGGCCTGAGCAAGAGCGAGTCCCCGTCGGTAATGAAGATAGAAAGAAATTAATCAGCCAACGAATATATTAATTAACATACATAAAATATATATGTATTATATTAACTAATATATAGAAAAAAACGAGCCGGGCGTGGTGGCGCGTGCCTGTAGTCCCAGCTACTCGGGAGGGAGGCCGAGGCGGGAGGCTCGCTGGAGGCCAGGAGTCGGAGGCTGCTGTGAGCGAGGCTGAGGCCACGGCGCTCACTCCAGCCCGGGCGACAGAGCCAGACTCTGACTCAGAAAGAAAAAAAAAGAAACTGTGTGTGAAGATGGATTATAGCTCAGCACCTAAGTTGATATGTGGAAAATACACAAGCTTTTGTTATCAGCAGCTGGAATTTGTTTTTTTTTTTCCAAGACAGAGTCTCGCTCTGTCGCCCGGGCTGGAGTGAGCGCCGTGGCCTCAGCCTCGCTCACAGCAGCCTCCGACTCCTGGCCTCCAGCGAGCCTCCCGCCTCGGCCTCCCTCCCGAGTAGCTGGGACTGCAGGCATGTGCCTCCACGCCCAGCTCGTTTTTTCTATATATATTTTTTTAGTCATCTAAGTCATTTCTTTCTATTTTTAGTAGAGACGGGGTCTTGCTCTTGCTCAGGCTGGCCTCCAACTCCTTGACCTCGCGCGAGCCTCCCGCCTCGGCCTCCCTCCCGAGTAGCTGGGACGACAGGCG